TAAGTAGATATCTGCAAAATGTTATCTGTACCCTCTCACTTTCCGAATGTTCGTACCCCCATATCGCTACCATAACAAATAGCTCTCATAATGATTGTATCAAACAAATTAATTAAATGCACTAACCAATGGCATACCACCAAGTATTTTACAGTATGTAAATTTGTTGGTTCACAGTAAATCTGTTTTTAGAGGGCGATAAAATAGTATGCATATAGTGGCAGTTTAGAAGCGGTCTCAATTGACCTCAATGACTACATCTTCTTTTCACGAACCCACTAAAAATATAGTAAATCTTCTAAGACATCAAAAAAACGTGTAAAAAAATATGTTTGTACAATATGATTCATCGCATACTTTCAGTGCTGAAGCAACACTGTTGGGTAAGTTGTTGGCTACAAGAAGCTCTTAGACCTATACAACTCGTGATGATAAATCTTCGGCATTTATTTAACGATCTGTTCAACCCGTAGCTGTACACCATTGTTCAATAACAGAGGCTACACGTACTAATACATTTGAATGATACACTTAGAACAAAACAGTATATATGCCATCATTAACTTGAAGAAAACAAAACTAATGAACCAAACTAGGAAAGTACAATGTCGTGTTATCGTGTCAGTCCTGTTTGACCCCCCCCCCCCACACTTTAAGACAAACGGCTCTAATCAGGACCACCACATTCTTCAGAGATTGACTACCATTACATTATTGTTTCAATAATGTTTTAATATTTAACACCAGCTGCTTGAACGCGATCTTCATTACACCATCGCGGAATCACCGAATAAAAGCTTACCCATTTAAAACTTTTTTTTTATTGGCTGCTGTTGAGCTGAGACATTTAAAGCTCGTTGCCACCAAAATGCTCATTATTAATCAATTTCGGCTGAACCTAATAGTTACCTCACTGAGTCAAGTGATTTAAACGATGATAATTATTTTAATAAATACTGTTTGTTTTATTATGTTCTAATCAACGATCATAAATGTATTCACTTCCAAAATGTAGGGGGTTCGACCGAAACCCCCGACCCCCCCCCCCCCACCAAACTACGGACCTGCCGTAAATGTTTCAACAACAGTCAGTCGGTGCTCATGCCTATGAAGTTGACGATTTAGTCTGGTCAGGAATTCTACTTTCTTGGAGGTTGTGCAATTGGCTCGAGTAAACAGGTTGTGCGAAACGACCCGGTGAGGCGGTGCCAATCGGCAGCGGTAAGGCAAGCTCCTGCGTTGAAATCAAACAGAGATCTTTCATATCCGCCTGGCTCACTGTACTGATGTCATCAAAATAGTCGGTCTAAATCTTCTAACGTGAAATTTAAGTCAAACTGTGCCTCCACCTCGGGCTCCAATTTATCCATGGTATGTGTAAAATATGAGCACTAACCACTCGAGCGAGTCGACTGACACTGACCGCGTTCGATTCAACTTACACTACTGCCAGCACCTAGGCTATCGTTGCAACATTTGGACAAAATGTAACATAATGTACTAAAATGTTATTTCACAAGTTTGATTGCTGTCAAAATGTCATCATTTGATTGGCTAATACCAATCTTTTTCTCGGGCTGATTGGCCAGTGCTAAGTCGGTTAGATATTTTTTTTCAAAATGGCTTTCTAGTTCAGACAACTAAGAGCACTGTAATAATTGTTTGAGATTACATGTATATTCACGTAATATTTGTATTGATTTCCTTGCATCAACTAATGTACTTGGAAAGTTCGTGGTTAACTGAATAAGAGAGAATCTTCACGCTGAAATGAAAAGTAACACGTCACGGATTTCACAGACCTCAGCGGTTTGGATGAAAGAAAAAACAAAACACTGTTAATGCTCCCAACTCATTCAAGATACAGTCACTGTCTCGTGTTAAGACTTGTTTTAATGAACTGAGCTATAAGAAACTACATAAATTTATCACTCTCATTACTGGTTAAAAAATCATTTATATAAATTTCTGCTTGGTTAAATAAATGCACTCTATGTGTTCTGTATGCTGGGTAATTCATAACAAATTGTTTTTCATCTTCAACTTTGTTTTGTGTACATTGGTCACATATAATTAACTGCAATTTGTTTGTAATCTGTCAGTTTCAATTTTAAAACAATGATTACTAACTCTAGATTAAAGTATTTAAATACAGGAAATCTACTCATCACTTAATTCAGTGAATTTGAACGAGGCTATAAACTTGAATCCAATGAAATCATAAAACATTACGGATAATATAAAAACTAATTTCAAAGCAATCTTCATAACACTTAACCCATACATTTCGCACTAAAATTATCACTATTGTGATATAATTAACTGTCCAGAATAAAGTACTAAAACGGTAATCCGATGCTGGATTATAAAGGTAACAACAATTTTATAGGACAGCTAGGTTAACGCTAAAAGAACATCTCAATATCAAAACAAAGATAAACTCAAAACTACTTAAAACGGTTAACAATAGGCTTCTGAACAGCGCCCCCACTAGTGTGAAAGGTCAAAAGAATATATCATACCAAGCGTTGTCACGTGAATTTGTATTCCTTTTATGAGGTTGTTAAAAGGGGAACTTGGGGTAAATGAATATATCAAAGTATTGTTCTGTATATTTTCCGGGTTGTAGTTTCCTGGCAGGATCGTAATCCGTGGGTTTTCTGGGTGGACAACATGTCGAGTTTCACCAAACTGACGACCTCTCTCTTTATGGTGTATGCCACGATTTGCTGCGTTTGTGGCACAGACAAGGGTGAGGATCAAGTTGATTTTACTGATTTTACCTATCTACATGGCATAGTTGTACATATTCTCGTGCGTTGGTGACATTTTTGACGATCTTGCAAATCAAAGTCTATAAAGACTTTGATGCTATGTATGACTATGGACGTAGTACGTCCATGGTATGACCATGGAGGTAGAAAAATAGCTGAAACACGTAAGCCGATTAACGGTGACACTTGACAGTGTGTTTGCCAAATAATTACAATGTGTACTGAGTAAACAAATCCAAAGCATCATGAAACCAGCGGAAACAATAGCGTCCTCACTCCTTCACTTTTCTACTTCCATGATATGACTTAAAGCGGGGAGTATTCACCTGCGCATGCGTCAGATGGCCATAGCCGATCATTGCGTGGTGTCGTCACAGGAAGCGCTGTCCCAGCACAGACCTCAATCTCCCAGGCAGAATTCTATTACGAATATATCTCTGCCACCACGCGATCTTATGCTTATCGTTGATTGGTCGATGCGTCACAGTGGTACGACTAGTACTTTCAAAGACGCTCACCAAAACATTGCCATGCAGGTGTTCGATTTTCGAAACCGAAAAATGTGTACGCGTTGTTTGCATATACTGACCGTTTTCAAAGTTAGAAGCTTTTTTTTTTTTTCTGTAACACAAACGGTGTGACAGTAGGACGTTTTAGCCATCAATACCCCTAGCTGCAATCGTTTCTTTATATTTCTTTGTCTGGCAATCGACAGGACGGTCAGTTCGATCACAGTCAGCTGGCGCACACGTGATAATAAAATAAATACGATATTTACTATATGGGGTCCGCCATCTTGAATGCAGTACAAAACTTAATAAGAGACAAGTTTTGAAACGCGTTTTTCAGATTCCTACAAATCAGGACAAAAATACCAATCTTTCACAGAAATACGAACCATTGGGATAATATTAAGCCAGCCGATAACAAAATTAGGACGAATTCGTCGTTATTGTGTGAACAAATCTCTTAAATACGAACACCTAATTACACGAAGAACATAAAACACTTTCTTGGGGTATTTGAAACCAAAAATTGTCATTCCAGCTCAGCAGCCAATCAGCGATGATCTTACAGTCAGATGAGAATTTTGAAATTTGAATCGGCCATATCGTCCTATTCAGCTTCAAGAAACAGTTCCGGACATGTTACAGAATGTAATTTTACGGTTTTTTTGACAAAATAACCACCATTTCGATAAGTTTTATCAAATCTCAAGACAAAGCATGTTGTTGTGTTACCTTGTAGTATACTACTTATGTACAAACTTTGAACTGAATCAGGCCATATCTTTCAGAGAAATCAGCACAAAAAGGAAAAAACAAAATAGCCATTTTGGTTCAGATCTCCAAAAAAATATGACGTGCACCTGTAACCCGGATCACCATACAAAGTTGGATTATGGAGGTAATAATTATTACCTCCATGGTTGGATTGACATCTGTGGATAATATTCGCTCACATTCGATCAGGTTCAAACTGCATGCATTGGATCGTAGAGTATAATAAAGAAAGAGTAATGTACATTTAAACAATACACTGTTTATTATGGCGATGTTACAACAAAGAAACTACAATGTAACAAGAAAGCAACTGATGAATACACGATGGAATGCCCCTTTTATAGGGTTCAGTAGGATTCACACCTATTGATTAAAATAGGAGGGAGACACAGTGATAGGTTTTCAATATTGATACATCGGCTTAAAATTGACCTTGCAACTGATTCCTATTGCGTTCGTGCTGTCTATTGATTATTATTAAATGGCTTATGTAACTAGACTCTCTGTTAATTTATAATAGAGATACATGTATTAAAGTGTGAAATCTTGACATGTAATAACTTCTACTGGCTATATCTCAGCTAATACTGCTTGTAATTGAACAAAATAAAGACGAAGAGATAAATCAAAACATGATCTAATAATACAACTAAATTTCGAGTAAGAATGAATAAATCTGAATAAACAAGAACAAATATGAATCAATGAGGAAAAACACAAGTGGATAAGCATCCACGACATACTCGGGGGGGACTTGCTCCATAACGATGAATGTGTTTATGTTGATTCAAATAAGTAAATATTACGAAAAAGGAGTTCGTATATAGCCAAAGGAAAAAAATACATGCATACATAGAATTCATGTAAGGTGTGACCTGAAATAGTTCATAACGGTAAGTTAAATAATTTTCACACTAGGTCTTATTTGGCGACCTTAGACAGTTCATAAATGACAGCTGATAAATCCTTTCTTGAGTCTGTATAGCGGCTTTGCGCGTAGTTCGTCTGAGGTAGAATGAATGGCTGTCTGGTGTAGGAGTTTGCGTTGTGTTTGAAGTTGTAGATGGGGTCGGAGAATGCGCCTTTTGCGACGTTTTCTCTTTGGTGACGTCATCGGTATGTTTGTTGACTCGAAGTCACTTACAGTATCTCCAGCGGATATAACTTGGTGATCGGCCGATTGAATCTTTTGCAAATGATTGACGGTTGCGTCCGATTTGCGATCGGAGACAAAGAGTTCACAAACAGGCCATAAAGCGTAATTTCCTAACCATTCTGGACCTTGCCACCAGAGCTTAGAATTACGTAATTCCTTAGGGTTAAGTCCACGTGTTAATAAATCTGCTGGGTTAGAGTTGGTTGGTACATACATGCTCTCTTGCGGGAAGCTGTTGATCTCCGTTATGCGGTTTGTAGTGAATTGATCTGGTTTGCCACGATTATTGATCCAGTGTAGTACAATCTGGGAGTCTGACCATAAAACAAGACCGGTGATGTTGTACTTTGTAGACAACGCGGAAGTGACAAACTTACTAAGTCGGGTTGCTACTACTGCAGCCATGAGTTCAAGTCTAGGCAATGTTAGTGTGTTGTTCTTGATCGGTGCAACACGTGTTTTTGACATCACCAGTGTGGTTTGTTTTCCCGATTTTATGTAAACAACACCACCGTAAGCTTTGGTTGAGGCGTCGGAAAAGGCGTGTATTTCGATGTCGTTCTTGTTGTTGTTGTTGTCATTGGAGAAGTAACGTCGGTTGATACGAATGTTGGTTACTTCCTGTAAGTCGTGAGCTATATTTACCCAGTCGCGCTTGAGTTCGTCCGATATAGGGGTATCCCAATGGAGATTTAGTTTCCGTAGTGACTGGGTGAGTAACTTCGCACGAACATGGACTGGTGAGAAAAGACCTAGTGGGTCATAGAGGCTTGCTGCAAAACTGACTACGTTACGTTTTGTAGTCATAGTGTTGATGTTTGGTGAGTCTAGTTGTTTCATGTAGAGGACGTCACTGTCGGTATTCCATTTCACGCCCAGTACACTGACAGTAGTATTTGGGCTTGCCTTGTTGTCCCGGATAGCTGCTTTACGAATAGTTAAGTCGTTCGTACTCCATGATCGGAGGTTAAATCCACGTGTAGATAATAATTTGGTGGAGTCTTCATAAAACTGCATGGCTTCATTGGTATCACGACTGCCAGTAATTACGTCATCAACGTAAATATTATTTTGTAAATCTTTAGCTGCTGGTACTTCCGGATGGCTACACGTGGCCCCAAACAATACAGAAGTGAATTGATATGTGATGAACTCACTGTTTGGGTCATTAATGTCCGATAGCCATAGGAACTTTGTATATTTTCGGTCTCCATTGGCGAGCCTTATCTGCAGGAAGGCCTTTTCGATGTCACTTGCTAAGGCGATCGGGTTGGACCGAAAATGAAGCAAGATTGCAGTTAAATCGTTTAGTAGAGGTGGTCCCGTTTCCAAACAATCATTCAAGCTGGGTTGTCCGATGGCTGAGATCGCACTGCAGTCGTACACAACTCGAATGGGTGTTGTAGAGCTGTCGCGTTTCACAGAGCGATGTGGAAGGTAGTGACCACTGGAAGTGTCTGCTTGCTGTACACGCACGATGAAACCATTTTCTAGTTGATTGGAAACCACCTTATCGTAGATGTAAAGAAGATTACGTGGCATTTTCTTGATCATGTGAGTGCGTTTATTTACAATGTCAAAATTCGTTGGTAATGGGTCGTGATTTGGCTTCCAAGGTAGTTTTGCAGTAAAACGATTATTTTCTTCAGACAAACAATTTGAGGGCGTGCACGCATGCGCAAATTGACACAGCATGAAGGCTGGTATCACAGAGAATAGAAATTGTCAAATTTCGTCATAAATGCGTAAAATCTGGAAAAATATATGATTTATATGTAATCGGACAACATTTTGCGATAGTTCAGTGTCTTATAAGCACTCGTAACTGGTTTGGACAAGGTATTTTGTATTTTGAGGTGTGATTTTCGGCTGCTAGAAAAATGTGTGCACATTTTGTTTCCTCCCTTGTCTTATATATAAAGAAAAATCATAGGACAACGGATAACATTTATATTTTGAGATCCTTGATTACAAAATATGTAAACAACAAATGTAAAAAAACAGAAAACTATTTATTTT